TCCATGCCGTTCTGCGGGAGTGCCCGCCCTCGTTTGTCTGGGACACTTCTTATAGGCGAGCGCTTTCTGCCAGTCATTTCGCCGATCCCGCCGCTTTAAAATAAACTTCAACTTGATAGGTCGGATTTCTGGCACTGCCTGGCCCTCTTAGGAGTACCTGATTGGAGCGGCTCTCCCCACTGTCCTGAAAACCCTGCCTCCTTCCCACTTTCATTGGTTTTCTCGCTAATCCATCAAACCGAAAACCCTTAGTCTTCCAGTCATAGCGACTACCTTCCGGCGCTCCTCCGCAAGAAGACAAGGAAGCACCTCCCCTTTGGCTTTCTACACTGGTTACTGCAGATGTCCATCCTCTGCATCTCCACCCGATTAGTCAATGGAGAGTGGAAAGAGTCCTCTCTCCAGACGGTAAGACCACTGGTTGTCCTTGATTGGCTGAAAAAGGGGAGCCCCTCCCAGGCCCGTTGGCGCTCTTTAGCGCAGCCTAGCAAAGGATCGGAGGCTAAAACGCACGCGCGAATATGCTTTAAGGCGCCTACGGAGGCGGGGAGATCCTCTGAAGGAGCGAAGGTCTGCAGTACCTTGAGATTTGTTGAGTAACTGCAGTGAGCAGCGCCCGAAGGGTAGACCAAGTTAGAGGGACAACTACCAGTGCAGCTCTGTCCCCACCATTATATCCTATTCCTCTCCATCTCTAACCTTCACAATACCAGAGGAATTTTTCTTTTAACCCAGGCGGACCCTTTCCCTCACTACAAAACCATTCGCTGCTGCCGACTATCTTCTGACCCTTTCCAGTTCACGAGCGTCCTTTCACCACTCCATCTCTAAATTCAGCCACAATAACTCCTTTGAGTTTGCAGAAAGGGAAGGATCTTTCGCGCACCTCTCAATCTTTGCCCAGGCAGGCCCTTCCACCCAGAATACTTTTTTCACTACCCCTCCTGCCGGAACTAAGGAATAAATTTCGTCCGTGCTCAGTTCACTGAAAAGCATTCCTGGCCCCTACCAGCCCTGACACTCCGGCTTCCCCCATGATAACCCCTGATCACTCAACCAATGGTTTTCACGCGACAGCCCTTACTACCCTGAGTTGTCACAGTTTGGTAACTGTCTCTTCCCGTAGCGTGGAAGTCCTGGGTGGGCAAGGGAGCGGTAGTCCCTGTCTAGGCCTTAGTGAGATTGACAAGCTCCCGGCACAGTGCTAGCACTCTGTATGTAAAGGAGAGTAGTTATGGTGTTCTAAGTTTCCGGCGGGCCCTTGTTCCCGTCAAGGCGGGTACGCCCACTCCACCCAGAATATCCTCAGTCTCTAGGGTCCAACGACACCCAATAGCCAGAACCTGGGGGCGGGGCCGGGGGCTGACGTAGGATCCCGCCCTAAGGGCTCTAACGTTACGGGGCAGCCTGCTGGGGGCACGCTGCGTTTAAAAAGTGAAGAGAGTCGTGGGAAATGCGGGGGATGCCCCCGAGATGCTCTGGGAACCTTTCCACTCGGGTGAAAAGGGATTCCTGAGATAGAAGTCCTCGTGGAAACTAAGTTTGAAGTGGGGTCAGTGGCACTAAGAGAATGGGACTGGCCTGGTAGGTCCGCGGGTTTGGGGAGATGAGAAAGTTAAGGGTGGGCTGATAGAGATCTAAATCAGCTCTCCATTAGCCGGAGAAGGTCCAAAGAGGGCAGCAGAGCGGAGACTGGGGGTCGGCGCAGCGCCTCCAACACGTGATCGGTGCGACAGTAGCAAGGCGGGGCGGGTCCCACTGAAGGGCGGGGTCGCGAGGTCCGGACGTCAGAGAAATGCGGTGGGGGGAGGGGGAGAGAGGGGCCCCTCCCCGCCCCGCCCCCGCGCCCG